TGTTAGAGTCTTAATCAGCGTACTATATTCGTGCTTACACTATATTTTATACAACGTCAAACTCTACCCGTTTGCACCTTTTTCACTTTTGCACACTAGTACTTGCGCGCATAAATCACCAAATTAAGACTGGTACATTGCTTAAACTCAGTGCAAAAGCTATCCACAGACCCAGAATCTTTGCCTGGCCAGTCATTGCATTTATCACTGAGCTCAGTTATTCACGAGTGCACGTAGGAATCAGATAACGAAGATTTTTTTTTTAAATTAAGTTTTGGTTTTGCACAGTTCCCACCAGCTGTAAATTTGCATGCCTTTACTTAAAGGGGCTGTGCAACGACATTGGGTAGGAATATTTCTTACTTTACACCAGCTCTCTGGTACTAGTGGGACCCAAGAATACTCGAACGCAACCCCACTGATACACGAACGCAACACCTCGCGATTTCACCAGTTCCCTACACCTCGAGGCAACCCTACGGATGAAGGCATAAGAGAATACGGCGCAAAGTCACCAGAGAGAATGACTGCACAAGGAGACTTCACAACATAATGACACCAATCTACGAAGATTTCTCGTCTTCGGCCACATCTTGATAAAATGTTAGTGTACTTACCAATCGTTCCAGACCATTATAACATCGAGTCAGGAACAATGCAAAATGCTACAACACTTTAGGGCACCGTTACCACCTTGAAAGGGAGGGCAACGAGAGGAAATAAAAAATATACGAGGTACATCATTTTGCTTAAGTGTTTATTATTCGAAGCTCTAGTTCAAATCAGAAAAAATAGGAATAACTGTACTAGGACAAACACGTACGCCTATTGAATAGCGCCAGAAGATACAAATATTTTTGTTCCACATAAAAATGCTGACATAATTATATTAATAATATAAAAGCAGCACTTGCGACATAAACGTTTGATGCATTACAGAGTAGAAATAAAAATAGTGTTATAGATTAAAAATATATATATATATCACCCGGTTAATTAAAAAAAAATTGGGTTGTGTGTATGTTTATACAGCCTAGACCTTGGTCTGCCTCACAGGGGCGACGAGTCTCCCAACTGTAGATGAGCAATTTAGCCAGTGCGGTACAACCGCTAGCCGCGGGTCTTTAACGTGCATTACGCAGTAGTGATACACGACCGCACGCCGGTACGATGCTCATCCAGATCGAAACGGGCAGGGGTGGGGCTCGAACCCAGGATCCCTGGGTTCTGCAGCGCGAGCTTTCGCTCCACGTGCTCCGAGCTGGTGTGCGCTAGACCACTCGGCCACCGATCCCCCCAAATGTAGCAAATGTGGCCGAGTGGTCTAGCGCACACCAGCTCGGAGCACGTGGAGCGAAAGCTCGCGCTGCAGAACCCAGGGATCCTGGGTTCGAGCCCCACCCCTGCCCGTTTCGATCTGGATGAGCATCGTACGGGCGTGCGGTCGTGCCACATTTGGAGTGGTCTAGCGAGTGGTCTAGCGAGTGGTCTAGCGAGTGGTCTAGCGAGTGGTCTAGCGCACACCAGCTCGGAGCACGTGGAGCGAAAGCTCGCGCTGCAGAACCCAGGGATCCTGGGTTCAATCCCCACCCCTGCCCGTTTCGATCTGGATGAGCATCGTACCGGCGTGCGGTCGTGCTACATTTGGCGGGGAGATTGATGTCACGTGATTAGACATCACGTGACCTACACACTAGTTTAGTTTCCCGACTAAATTCAGCGGGAAGGTTCACGTCAAATGACATGATGTCACGTGAGTTACACTTTAATATACACCAACTCATGTTTACAAACAAACCGGAGCGCCCCTAGCGGACGTCACCGGCGCCGCGCATGCGCCGTGGATGGTGGGCAAGAAGCCCGCCGTCGCCCATAAACAAACCATTGAATTGCGTTGTTGTCGGCGTCGGTGTGAGTCCCCGTGCTCTTTTTCGCGTTGGAATTGTTGATTCTACGTCCTCCTAACAATGTCTGACTACTTGAGCGGCTTCAGCAAAACTATCGAGGCAAAACTTTGCGTGAATAATGTGACTTGCGGCGATTCATTTCACGTGGACGCCGCAGAATGGGCGCTAAAGCCTGACTCCCACGTCGAGATTCCGCTCGCTATTTTCAGTCGCGACGTCGCTCGGACTGCAAAAGCGTGGACCGTAGCTGAGATGGTGGACATCGATACTGAAAACCTCAAGTAGAATCGGGCATTACAAGTCGGTGATGGCCGTTGGTAACAATGATCAACAACTTCTTGTATCTGTTTACACTTAGCCGACTTACCCCAACCAACCTCCTTCAAGTGTTTTGAGGCCTGCACTTAGTTCTTATCGCAATTACCGGGTCAATGTTTGGTTTCCGAGCCGCTGTCGTTTGAACGAACTGACGACAAAAAGCAGCCAAGTTTGAAAGAGCAGACGACAGTTGGAACGCACGCGCAATGGAGTACGGGCAAGAAGCACCGCGTCCCGCGTCAACAAGCCATTCGAATGTCACGTTGTCGGCGTCTGTGTGAGTCTGCATACTCTTTTTCGCGTTGGAGTTGTCGATTCTACGTCCTCATCGCAATGTCTTACCACTTTAATCGCCTGAGCGAAATCATCAAGGCTCGTTACGCTGCTAAACTTTGCATAAATAATTTGACGTGCGGCGATGTATTTGCATGACCGCCGCAGAATGGACGTACAAAACCATGATGAGACTCTTCTAGCTATTTTCGGTCGCGACGACCCTCGTGCTGCAAAAGTGTAGAAGGTAGCGGCGATGATCGACGTCGATACTGAAAATCGGAAGCGGGAACAGACAAAGCGTAACAAGTCGGTGATGGCCACCGGTACCAATGATCAACATCTTGTATCTACTGCTTACACCGAGCCTACTTAAGTCTTTTGAGGCCTGCAATTACTTCTTATTGCAATCACCGGGTCAAAGTTTGGTCTACGGGCCGCTTTTGTTTGAACGAGCAGACGACAAAAAGCAGACAACTTTGAAAGAGCAGACGAAAGTTCGAACGATCAGGCGGCCGTGTGAATTTGAAGACGCACTGAATCCGTGGGTGGTCCGGACAACTTGGGGGTTTTCTCTCGGTCATGTTGGAACAAAGCAAATACATCTGGCGACTACAAATTGTGGCCCGCACACGCAATCGTAGTTCGACAGCGTCAGGTTTGCCCTTTTCACGGCTGCTATCGACGTTCTCGGACGAACGGAGGGTGCAAAACCACATGAAAACTGATCTTCAAACCTTCCCAGACTCTCTTTGTAAAGCCCCCATCGCAGCATTTTGACGAGAAGGCAGGTTTTTTTGTCTCGTTTCTTCCAAAGTAACACAGGTATGCATGTCTGGCACGGCGACTTCTGCCCACCGCCCCAGACCGGAAGTGCGTCCGGCGCGCCACCACCGCGGCGTGACGTAGGAGAGTTGAGTTGGTGTATAGATTGATGCCGCGTGACCTATACTATACTACACTGTATATTGTCCTCTAAACAAATTAAAACAATGCCTTCTCAAATACTGCATTTCATACATCATAGGAATGACAAGATAGAGGCTGATGCCAATATAGATGCAGTTTTTTATATCCCTTTGCTTTAGACTGCTTTGTGAAGTGGACAAGAAGTTTGCATTTTAAGCACCGATCTGAAACTTGCAGATTCTCAGGAACTTTGTTCGCTCAGAAACCTAGGTTCACATCTAGCAGTCACTTGGTGTTGGGCCTGAAGTATAAGGACTATATCTCTGGGTGTTTAGTTCCCCGGTTTTGGAGCCTAACTGCCATATTGTCGAGACTGGTGAGACCGAAGTCAACGGGAATCGGAAATCACTTCGCTATATCTCATATTTAGTTATAATCGACTTCGGTTATAACCAAGTGCAAAAGGGAATGGGAAATCGTGATCGCTTCGCTGTATCCGCTATTTCGTTATAACCGACTTCGTTATAACTGGTCTCGACAGTAATACCTTATGGCTCAATCTTCTCCATGAGTTGAGTCACAAAATATAATAAGCATGAGACTCCTCGAATAAGGCCATGGTTTCGAAGATAGGTACCTGGAACGGGCGCCTGTACCTAAACTGTCTTGAGGGTGCCCATCTGGAGTAGCTTGAACAGTACTTCACTTGCTACGTCAATGACGAGACTTCCATGTGTGCTAAACTGGTAACAGAGAATATTAGCACCTACCACTGTTTTGATTTCGTTGATCTGGTTAAAGGATTTTGCCGTTTGAGCCACTAATAATATCAGGACCGGGAGTAACGGAAATGTGATAATTTTCTGAAGCCGATGTTGAACACTCACGGAGTCATCCGCATCTTAGGGGAAATAATCCACCTCAGCACCGTCGGTTTCCACCTCATGGATAAGTGTTGACTGTAACGGTTGGCTTGAGTCAGCGTCGCCAACTACTAGTTTTCGACGCTTTACAGTAAAACGTATACGTGGTTTCTCTGCAGGGACGGCAAACTTGACAATAAGGCATGGGGTCACTGCTAGCCCCAACCTCGAACTAGTAGACCATGATCTCAGCGGCAGCAAGGTTGCCACAAAATCTCGATAATTAGGTTCCCTATGATGATTCTTGTGGTGGCAGGGCACCGACATATGGACAAGCATGGAAAAAGAGTAAAAAAAGTGTCGCGAGCTGGGCAATAAACGTTCAGGCAAAGGCAAATTTCTGTTTTCCCCACTGAGATTTCGGATTTCGGAAGGATGGCTAACTATTCAGGCGTTTTCAAATAATACTGCTGGGTACCGAAGGGAGCTAATAACTAAGGGTGTGCTGCACGTTTTCTTCGGTTTATGTTTGCGTGGTTACAAATTCATCCCGACCAATGGACCAACAATCATTAAGACCATCAGATGTCCCAAGGCACGATTGACCATCCACCTGATGTTCCTTTCAATCAGGCTGGTCTACTTCTGCGGTAAATGCAACACTATAGTAAATACGCAGACTGCGAATTTGCCATAAAAATACCGGTCTGTCTCGGAGGCCTGAGAATCATCAGGTCCGGCGAACAGTATGCCGAGTCATGCGAATGTGTGGTGAACGAAAGCGGGCGATCACGTGACTAACCGCGAAAGCCCGCAAGCTGAGGAAGACTCCGACCACCCAGATGACGAAGCAGGGCCGGAGGTCACTCAGTTCCAGTGCTACGTTTCCGGTCTTCGAAGGCCGGTCGTACTTGAATTCACGCCTAATTCTACTCTTAAACTCCGCTATTCCTTCCGCTCGTTCAAACAGACCGCCTTCGAAAGCATGGCCGAGGAGTTTATTTATCGATTTGAAATAGGGAGAATTCGATCTTATCTGAGGTCCCATGATTACGGTTGAGAAGATCGTGTCGGTCTGAACGAAGCCGATGCGAAACAGCTCGTCCTTGAGGCTTGCAGCCTTGTCAGAACTAGGCCTGAAAACGATCAAGGTATGCGTGCCACCTCTCACTCGGAGATTTCCTGATTTGTCTGAGCAATCGAAGACCTTGATATTCTCAATATTTGTTTTGTTTACCAAGCCGGCCACCCAACGAACGATTCCTTCTTCTGGATAGTTTAGGAGGCAAATGCCAGTGGCTCCTTTTTCAATGTCCACCCAGGACGCGTGATGGAGAAGTTCTCCGCCCAGCGGTACGTTGTATAACAGGGAGATGATAACTCCTTTGTACCCTGTGGCCAGTACTGTTACCATCAAGGACCATACCCCGAAAAGAATCCTATACGAGTAAAATGTATCAGCATGCAAAGGCGCAGTATACCCCTGCTGCACCAAGGACGCCGCGAATGGAGCCGCGACCGCTTGATAACCTGGAATAGTCCGACGGACGCTGTAGGTGACGAAGAAACCGACCAGCGAACAAAGAATGAAGCAGCCTAAAAGACCCACCCCGACAAGTATGGCGAAGGGCAAGAAGAGGACAGCTTTCTTCGGCAAAGGCTCCAGAGCTCTAACATAGGTTGCGAAGCCGGCTCTGTTGAAATAAAACAGCGTCGATATCGTTGGAAACCAGAAATCCTGTAGAAGAGCATATGGAAAATAAAGAATCGTTCCTGGATCATACATCTGTTTCGGTAAGTAATATTTGAAGGCTTGGGCAAAACTTATTAGTTTTATTTCTAAAGAGCAGTTGTAATGAAGCAAACTTTCCGTTAACGTGCGAAACGATGGACTTTGGCAAATCAACGGCTCTGAGCACGCGATGGTAATTCCTCGTCCCCGAATAGGTATGTCTCTGGTTAGTCTAAGAGGAAGATCAGTTTGGTCGTTTGGTGTGCAGTTTAGGCACCTGACTGCGTAACTTCCAGCCATCAGTATCTCCTGATCATGCACGACAATGTGAAAATCGGCCCCGCGCCGAAACTTTTCTAAATTATCATCCCCTTCAACAAAGAAATAGCCTTTACTCAAATTGAGTTCGCGCAGGATGCTTGGTTCTGTGCTTATAATTGCCCAGTGCGGATGGGGAAACAAATCAAAGTACGCCGCATTAGCTTTGCAGAATAAGTGCAGCCTAATCCGTCGGCGTTCGACGGTGCTGCAGGTAAGTGAGTTGCAGACGCTGATGATTTTTTGTGAAGTTGGTAGCACCTTTAGCAGCTGGGTCAGCAGGCGGATTTCTTCCACTCCAAACTCTGGCGGTAACATAATGTCCAGGTACGCCGAGCTAGACGCGCCGTGAAGCAGGTTCCGAAAGCCACGGGAATTCACGATGTCTTTCCAGAACGGACACTCTTCGGGCCTGGTAGTCGGCGTTGTGGCCTTGGAACGCCTGGAGCAGAAGAACTGCCATCAGTGTTGCCAGAGTGAAATGCATTACGCGATAAGGTACACCGGTGTTCGAATAAACAGATGATCGCTCCTTCGGTGGCTGAATACTCCGGTTAACAAAAAAAAAAAAAAAGTTATCGGAACCTGTTGTACTTAACCGTTCCAGGAACGCCGTTCCGTAGAACTGCCGTTCGGTACAACACTGGCCCCAAATAGCGCCGATCTGGTCGACGAAGGTCGATAACGCTATCTCGTGATTTATGAAAAAGTTGCACACAAACAAAATAGTTTGGTAAAAAAAAAACAAAAAAAAACAATAAACCCGTTGTTTTATGTTTTGGTATTTACTATGATAGGGTTCTGCCATTTCTAAATCGGGACCTTCTGGAACACACTGATCTATACGGCGTAAGATTTCACACGCCATCCCATTCGAACTCGCTGTTGACGCTCAGTAAATTTTCCAGTTTCTCTTTTTCGGCAGATACAATGTGGGCACTCATACTGATGAACGTGAGACTGGCCTTCATTCCCGTATTCGATCGTTGTTGAGGAACCGTGTTACGTGAGGTGCCGGTCCTGCGTAGACTGGGCGGAGGTTCGCGTTTCTTCGGTAGCAGACGATCGATAGCAGACACGTTGGAACACAAATTTAAGACGAATCCCGTGAGGGCTGCTTGCGGGTCCGACGTGCAGATATCGATTCCATCGTAGGTGTATGGTCACGCCATTTGATTTCACTAATTTCCCTGCAGGCTAAGGCCGGCAAGCCGAGAGAAGAAAAAGGTGTTTACGTCCAGCACGTCCTCTCCGCGCAGGCAAACAGTGAAGATGGGGAAACAAGCCTAGGGCGGAAAGGCCGGTCCAGCCTACCCCATGGCGTCACCATAAGTGTCTAAGAAGTAAGAACAAACATCGCGGCAGTTATGATTCGTTCCTTCCCTGATACGTGTCGACGGATCCGCGTGACCTTGTTGGCGCGGCCAATAGCCTTCCGTGTCCAGACACACAATTTCACAGTGTCATCAAATGCTTTACTATTGAAACACAGGGCGTGTCCAGTCCCGAGCATCTTGCTATCGCTCACCAGCCAATGGAATAGCGGCATCAGTCGATAAGAGCGCCGAGGAGCCAACTACGAAGTAAAGTCTTAAAAGGCCACGCCCCCGCGGTTTTTAAGTTGTCGGTGGCTGTAGACCCTTTAATCTCAATAGTTACCTGACCCGCTAATAGAGGGTGCTGACGTGCTAGCCGCCATAACGTGGCTTCAATTTGGTTTCGGTTTCGGTGCGCTCGCGGCTGTGTCGGTGTGTTACGTAGTTTCCGCTTAGTTCCGTAATACAATTGTGTCTCTTGTGATACACAACCAACGATACAGTGGTACTACTTTAAAAACCACGAAGCAATTTCAAGTTTAAATTGTAAACTTTTTTTTTTTTTTTTTTTACGAACACGTTTATATGGTCATGTTCGTCGTTCGACCAGATTCGGCGGAGAAACGACTAAACTGCTACGAGAGGAGGATTACTATTGTCTACAGCCCTACCCGCTGACATCAGCCTCCAAAGTAATGAACGAATGAAGAGACTCATGCATGAAATCATTGTGAAGGACCAAGTCGACAACCTGATTAACGATATGTGGAATCGCTCTGAACAAATTAGCTCGCGAGGTTCGCGCTCACTCTTTAATTTTCGAGGACACCAACTTTTTCTGAACATTGCCGACTGGAAAAACATAATTTAATGACGCGTAGAATGTACAAAATAAGGAAAAACGTATCCACCTGCCTTTAAAAAACACACACACAAAAAAAACGAAATGAAGCATTTTAGATATGGTCCATCATAGGCCAAGTAAGAAAACATTTTCAACGAACCTGCCAGTGGCATGGCCAGAGGTGATGGGTGCTACAGTGGCGTCGTCAGCCGCTGCACCGAGCCCAACGTACAGTTTCTTTAAATTTAAAAATAAACCCATCGAGCGAATGTTTATAAATAACGCAAAAACGATTCTACTACAAATTCAAATGCCACTGCTTTCGATTTTCTATGAACGCAGAGCACGATGCTTTTGAGAGACACCCGTAGTGACTATATTGGTCGCGTATTAACATCCTAAATGCGCGATCATAAACGTTACGCCTGTTATTGTGAATGTCCCGTCACTATCCCTACGAAAACCTGCGTTGGCATAGATAATTCGCTTCTCAACTCTCGTGCTAATCTACAAACACAATGTACTCCAGTGCTAAGGCTGATTCCTGAGCTTTTTCAATTACGTCCATACACGTATGCAGTACGCCGCCAAGGGAAATAGCCAAAACGTCTTAGATAATCAATTGGAGAAGTTCTGCACATCACGATGACACGATACTAGGCAAAAAAAAATGTGACACTTTACAGAGAAAAGCAAAAAAATTGCGGTGAAACGCGCCAAAAAGCACAAATACCACGCATTCAGCAAGGCGCGCATGCAGGCGTTAGCGTAAATGTCGAGTTGAAGCCACCTTATGGCAGCCGCATCACGTGATTCCAAGATGGCAGCGCCCAAGCGACGGAGGGTGCTTCACTCGTTTGCATTGGAATGCGCGCCTACAGCGCCAAATCCTCCCCTAGCGGAGCGGAAACCCCACGTCCGAGAAAACGCATGCGCATCGCGCTGTAGGCTGTCGCGTTTTGGCGCTGCGCTGAGGGAGAGGGCTGCCGCCGACGCACCGAAATACCGGATTCGCCAAGACAGCAGAGACAGCTGTCTCCGTTCCTGTCTCGGCGAGTTTTTTTTCCACGGCGATAGATGGTGGCAGCCACCCCTCCCAATTGAAAGGGGAAATCCCAGAGGGAGCGCGTCCGGTCGTTCCAACTACGCAAAAGCTGTCGGCGCCGAGCCCATTGGATTTTCTGAAAGTGAAATGTGTCGTGTGTAAAGGAGTGAAACGTTTTGTAATAGATACACAATAAATACACACCCAAAATGTGATCTAAACATATATCTGATGAAGTGCGTTATCAAAACTGGTGAGTGATGAAGGCGTGACAATTTCATTTGAAAGTGAATCCCTACCTTGAATTGTCCGAGGGCAAAATAAATATTTGAAAACATTAATGTTAAAATCTGTATTGCTGAATTGATATAGTGTGGTCGATTCTTACCGATCTGGTCGATGAAAATCTGATGTATTGTTCAATTCGAATATTAAATTTGCCGTGGATAAAAGCACACCAAAGTTTTAATCTATTAATTTCTGCCCTTGTTTTTAACGTCTTCATATTGGTGTCTAAGCAAGTGCGCCCCAGAATTCCGGTTTCTAAGTGCGTTGAAGATGAACCTGGGAGCTTGTTTTTGAACGCCTTCGTGTATACTTATTCCTTCTGCTGTGTGGGCAAACAAAACAGCCTTAGCGTACTTCAGGACTTGTCAAATTAGTGTTTTATATACTTTGCCTCGGTATGTGCAAATTTAAGCGTACGTTTAAGCGCGAAACGGTTAAATCTAGCCTTGTTAACAATTGTTCAACGTGTTGATACAAGTCATTTTTTTTTTCATTAAACGTTATACCGAGGTATTTATAGTGGTCTACACATTTTTTTTTCATTCAGAGTGTAACTAAAATGCAGAGGATTCATTTTCCAAGTTATGGTCATTGCTACCGTTTTGTCATAATTTATTTGCATTTTCCATCGGCTAGACCATCCTTTAGTCTACGATAGTGCGTTACTGAGATTTATTTGACCCTTGGGGGTTGTATATTCGAATAAATGACACAGTCATCCGCAAAAAGCTTGATTAGCACTTGCGTGCCTTGTGAGATATCATTCATAAAGATAAAAAGAAGAAAAAAGTGGACCAAGTACTTCCCCGAAGTGTCAGATAAGCGAGTGGACGATATATCATTAATTTCGATGTACTGAGCTCGCTCGGAT